TCCAAGCGTGCCATAGGCTAGAGACCATTCCCAAAGGCTTCTCCTTAAATACAGGAAGCAGACCACATCCCTAAGACAGCTACTCAGCTGCTTGTGGTAGATTCCACCATGGAGTTGATTGCCAGTCTCATCATGGGGAATAACTACCACCAGCTGCCCAGCCACTCAGCCAGGCCCAGCCAGGTTGACACACAGATTTAACTACCACAGGAACCTACTTCTTTCCTGGGTTCTCTGGACAGTTCTAATTTGAGAGTTTTTATTTTGTTTTGTCTGTGGGGTCCCTGGGTGGACTGAACAGTTAGCACACTCAACTGTTAACCAAAAGGTTGGGGGTTGGAGTCCACCCCAGAGTGCCTGAGAGGAAAGGCCTGGCGATCTGTGTCTGAAGAACCAGGCACTGAAAACCCTTCGGAGCCCACAGGGTCGCTACAAATCAGCATAGATTTGAGGGCAACTGGCTAGTTCCCAGTGGGGCAGAAATCTTTCCCACCAGGATCCCTTACCAATTGCTGCCCAAAGATACATAGACCAAGGTCAAACTGCCATCTACCTACTTCCCACAGGACCCCTGAGCCTTCCTCGGGGGGCACATCCCAACCCTTCTGCTGAGGCTGCAGACAGCATCAGGGGGAACGAGGGGTGTGCATGCACTTACCAGCTCTCTCCACCAGAGGGCGTGATTATAGACTTTCCTTTTCCAAGTCAGTGATGAACCCTGTATTGTGTTTGCTGTGGGATTTCCTGTAATCTGGATACGTTAACCACATTCTTGGCAACCATCTTTACTTTTTTTTTTTTTTTCTGTCCAGAAGCTAGAAAGAGGCATGCTTGCCTTTGCCAACCCCCTTCTTCTGGCCACACCCTAATTTGCCAACATCCTTCAAAGCTAAAGATCCAAACTTGAAGCTCTGCTCACCTACCCATCCCTCCATCCTCCATCCAACCATCCATGTACCCACCCACTTATCTATCTTCCACCCACTCAACTATCTATCTACCCACCCCACCTATCCATCCATCTTTCATCCAACCACCTACCCACCCACCTATCCATTCCCCACTCACTTTTCTATCTTCCACTTACTCATCCATCCCCTGTGCACCTGCCCATGCTTCCATGCACCCACCCATCCATCTACCCCTGAGTTACCAATCCTCCATTCACCTACTCCTCTGTCCATCCGTCCATCCATCCATCCATCCATCATGTTCTTCATACAACATTCTTGAATGTCACTGTGCCAGGTAGGTGGTGGATCCAAGGGAATACCATGACAGAAAGAGGCAAACAGACCCTGCTCCTGGGAGCAGGCAGAAGGAACGTAGGCCTTCATTGTACCACCATCACTGCAAACATTGTGCAGACTGAGATAAGTAACGCTACGGAGAGTGCAGGGACTGATGACAATTCGTAACTGCAGTGACGGAGTCTTGGGGGGATCAAGGAAGCAGTCCTCTGATCCGAATTCTTCAGGGAAAGACAGTGGTAACGATGAAAAGCAGGGAGGACATCCTAGATGAGAGCTCCCCAAGCCATAAGGGCTTGAGACTCGCCTGGTTAAGGTGCAGAGTCAGGCTCTGCAGGGCCGGGGCAGAGCCTCAGAGGCTGCCTTTTCAACTAGCTCCCAGGTGATGCTGAGGCTGCTGGTCCCATGATCCATAGCAGGAAGGGAGTTGAGGGCTCTGAGAAAGACCTGGAGGAAAACGAGGCTCTCAGGAAGAGGAAGCGAGCAAAGTCACCGCCATCAAGCCCGATCCTACTCGTAGCAACCCCCACCGGGTTTCCGAGGCTGTCGATCTTTATGAAAGCAGACTGCCTCATCTTTCTTCCGCGTAGGAGCTGGGGGGTTCAAACCACTGACCCTTTTTTGGTTAGCAGCCAAATGCCTTAACCACTGTGCCACTAGAGCTCCTTCAGGAGTACAGGGGCATCAAAATCAGGTCAAACCCAAACTGTCTCTTCAAGGCGCCTCATTCCCCAACGCCCTGCTCCAGCTCTCTCTCTCTCCCCCACTCATTCTCCTTCATTTTTAATTTTTATTGTGAGGTGGGTGAAAGTTTACAGAGCAAATTCCTTTTCCACACAGCAGTTCATACACATGTTGTTTCATGACATTGACTGCAGTTCCCCACAATGTAACAGCTCTCTTCCCACTCCCTCCCTGTGGTTACCTCTTTGGGGGGGGGGGGTCCTTCTTTCCTGTGCATTCCTGCCCCCTGAGCTGTCTCCCTGTGCAAACACTCCCCTTCTGTTCTCTTGTGATTGATCAACTGATTGATCGCTCCAAGGAGTGTGTCTCCCTGCTGTAAATGATCACCCCATATGCCTGTCTCTCCCTCATTCTTCTTCGTCTCTTTCTCTCATTCTCCCTCTATTTCTTTCTGCCTCTGTACTCATCCATGTCTCTCTGTCTGCACTTCTCAGTTCCCTCCCACTCTCCCATATTCATTCCTCTTTTCTTTCCTAGATAAAATTCTGGGAACAGGTTGAGCTGATGGGATTAGGACCTGCCCAAATGTCTCCTTGTTTGTTACCAGTTTTGTCTCATTAGAGCATCAGCATCAGACAGGGATATATATATATATTTTTTTTGGTCAAATTGGTTCACTGCTGTGTGTCCAGCATGTGGACCAGTTCTGTTCAGTGCAAATGAAATGCCAGCCCCTTGTTTTTGTTGTTATTTGCTGTCAAGTTGATTACGACCCATGACCCATGAAGAACCCACGTGTACAGAGTAGAAGTGTATACCATCAGGCTTTCAAGGCTATCACCTTTTGGAAGCAGGTCACCAGGCATTTCTTCCAAGCTTAACCATTTGGGCCACGGAGCTATTCCTACAGAGCAGTTCTGTAACACTCGGGGTCACCTGAGTCAGAAACTGCCTTGCACACAGGACGTGTTCACTAAATATTTGCTGCATGAACAAATTAAGACAAAAAACCACAGGCACATTTCACCTTTCCACCCTCACCTCCACGTTGGGGCCTACCCTCAATGAAAAGAGTGGGTCCTTTGAAGGGGGGCTGGGTTTCACAGTCTTTCGCTGCCCGCCCCCCCCCCCAGGAAATTTGAGAACATCTATGTTGGCTGGGGCCACAAGTACAGCCCCGAAAACTTCAACCCGGCCCTGCCAGCCCCCGTTCAGCAGGAGTACACCAGTGGCCCCGAGGTCATGGAGATGAATGACCCCACAGTGGAGGAGGAGCAGGCGGTCAAGGCTGCGCGGGAGCAGGCCCTGGCCGCTGCCGAGGAGGCCGGGGATGATGAAGAGGAGGAGGAGGATGAGGAGGTGGAGGACTGAGCCCCACAGCCCCTTTCCCCGCACAGGTAGATAGGTCGCGGTTTTCCCTGATGCATAGTTCTCCCTGGGTTGACTTTTTTGCTGTTGGTTTCCTGTCTGCCACCGGAAGTCAGGAGGAGAAGACGCAGCAGCTGATCTGAATAAAATTTTTTGTGGCATTACAATTCATTCATTCTTTTGTCCTGCACATTTATTGGCATGGTGGCGCTCCCATCTGTTTCCTTTAGTCATTGCGCCAGCCATCAAACAATGATTAAAGTGCCTCCTCTAGACTCCGCCCTGCACACACTCCATGGGGGAGACAGAGCTGTCCCCAGGCAACAAAAACCCAGATGGAGATGTCCAGAGGACTGTCAGAGCTCCTGAGCTGACTCCTAAAGGGTTAAGGAAGGGCAGGGAAAGGCATTGCAAGCCTAGGGAACAGCATGTGCAAAGACACAAGGCAAGAGGGAGCTCGAGGTGCTGGGTTCGTTGCTCAAAGCTCATCTTAAGTGAGACATGGTGCGAGGGCTCAGTGGTGAGAGGGGAGGTTGGACACAGACGGTGGTAGGAGTCAGATCATTTAGGGCTTAACTTTGTTCCATGGGCACTAGGGAGCAGCAGAAGGGCTTCGAGTGGGTGAGGCCCTGATGACATTTGTGCTTGGGAAAGAGCTTTCTAGATGCCAAGTGGAGAGGCAAGAACAGAGTTTGGCAATGGTCCTCTAAGTTTATGTGTATGATCTGAATTCCCAGGTGTATAGTACAGCTGTGGTAGCATAGTGCCTAAGGCACTTCACTGCTAACCAGAAGGCTGGCGGTTCAAACCCACCAGCCACTCCTCGGAAGGAAGGTTGGGCATTC